GCCTGCCATGAAGATAGGTCTCTTACTGAATGGGGGGTGAGGAGAGCAACCTAGTGATAGAGGATGCAAAAAAGGCTGAAGTATTCAATGCCTTTTTCACCTCTGTCTTCACAAGCAAGGTCAGCTCCCAGACTACTGCAGCTGGCAGCACAGTTTGGGGAGGAGGTGAACAGACGACAGTGGTGAAAGAACAGGGTAGAGACTATTTATTAAAAATCATGGAGCAGGTCCTCAAGGAATCCATTTCTAAACACTTAGGGAGAAGACGGTGGTTAGGAACAGTCAGCCATGAATTCAAGGGCAAGTCATACCTGAACAACCCAATTGCCTTCTATGACAAGAAGACTGGCTCCTTGGATGTGGGAAGAGCAGTGGACATGATATACCTTAATTTTAGCAAGGCATTTGATACTGTCTCCCATAACATTATTGAAAGCAAACCAAGGAAGTATGAGTTGGATGAATGGACTGTAAGGTGGATAGGAAGCTGGTTGGATCATTTGGCTCTGAAAACAGTAATCAATGGCTTTCTGTCTAGTTGGTGGCTTGTCTCTAGTGGAGTGCCCCTGGGTTTGGTTCTTGGTCCAGCTTTGTTCAGTATCTTCATCAATGACCTGGGACTGCACCCTCAGATAGTTTGCAGATGACACCCAGCTGTGGGGAGTAGTAGATACACTGGAGGGAAGGGCTATGATTCAGAGAGATTTAGACGAATTGAAGGATTGGACCAAAATAAATCACATGAGGTTCAATAAGGAAAAGTGCAAAGTCTTGCACTTAGGACGAAACAATCCCATGCACTGGTATAGGCTGGGGACCAACTGGCTAAGCATCAGCTCTGCAGAAAAAGACTTGCAGGTTACAGTGAACAATAAGTTGAATGTGAGCCACCACTGTGTCTTTGTTGCAGAAAAGGCTAACAGCAAGTATGAACTGCATTAATAGGAAAGCTGTCAGCAGATTGAGGGAAGTGATTATTCCCTTCTACATGGCACTGGTGAGACCATATCGGAAGTACTGTGTCCTGTCTTGGGGCCCCCACTACAGAAAAGATGTGGACAAAAAGGAGACAGTCCAGTGAAGGGCAAAGAAAATAGAGGACTGAGGCACATTTGGATCCTGATTTTTCTCTGTTTAAAAATCCCAAATTCTCTGATTAAAAAAAATCCAAATTCTCTTATTAAAACCCCCCAAATATTTGTTCTTTGTGATTAAAATGAAATGCTGCTGTATATATATATATAGGTATCAGTTGAACACAATGTTTTATTGATATATTTACCCTTTTAAACAGGTGGGAAGCAAATGCACAGAGCTACTACTTTGAGTTGAGGGAACCTAGGTGGAGTGATCATACAGCTCTAGTCCTACAGACCTACTGGAGAGGTCCAGAAGACTGTATTAAGAGGGGCAATAATAAAGAGCAGACATCCCTGGAGGAGGGAAGATTACACCACACACATGATGTGTGTGACCAGTGGGGTTCCTCAAGGCTCTGTCCTTGGACCTGTTTTTTTCAACATCTTCATTAACAATGTAGACGTTGGTATCAGAAGTGGACCGGCCAAGTTTGCCGATGATATCAAACTCTGGGGTAAAGCAGCCACACCTGAGGACAGGAAGGCGATCCAGACTGACCTTGACAGGCTGAGGAAATGGGCGGATAAGAACCTGATGGTGTTTAACACTGAAAAATGCAAATTTCTCCACCTTGGGAGGAAAACCCTGCAGCACGCTTATAGGCTCGGCAGTGCTACACTGGCTAGCATTACAGATGAAAGGGACTTGGGGGTCATGATTGACCACAAGATGAACATAAGCCTTCAATGT